CCATCCTCACCCCCCCCCCCCCCCAAATCACGCCACAATCCTTATAAAATAAAACATGAGATAGAAGACACATTTATGAAACAACAACTCCGGCTGCTCTGAGCGAGAGCGCGAGAGACGTTGGAAGGAGGAGGAGGATGATGATGAGAGAGAGAAGAGAGAGAGAGATGCGCGCTGACGTCAGGCTGCGAGCGAGCTGTGCGTGAGGAGTGGCGGCGGCGGTGTCGGAGGAGGAGGAGGAGGTGGTGGGAGGCGGAGCTGCAGGGAGGTCAGACGCAGGTTGTCGACAGCAGTGAGCGCTGCGCGCCGAGTGAGGTCGGTTCACTGAGAGTTCAGCCGCATTGGATTAGCGCCACTGCCGCCGCCGCCGCTGCTGCCGCTGCTATTGGGCAGCGACGGCCCTCTCCGTTCCTCGCTCCCATCTCAACTCACAGACAGCCGGCAACGTTCGAAGGTCTCGTGAGATGATTCACTGTGTTGCGGTCTATTCACAAGCCTAACCACGCCGCTGAAAGCTTAGGGGTTTACAGTCCGGGCACTGGACGGTGTTGGTCATTATATTTCTTCCTTTGTAAGAACGTGATAATTAATATTGTAATCATGCAAATTAGCCAGTGGGGTTGAGCATCCCTTTGTACGGACTGCGAGGTCGTGGAGACGAGGTTTTTGGGAACCGGGGACATTTTAGATCAGTGGCGGGGTCTTCGGGGTTGAGGTGAGACCGAACTTGCGACTCTGGCTCCTAGGACGAGGTGAGCAAGGCGAGCTGATGAATCCGTCTCCCGAGGCGCGAGAGAACAAGGGGGGATTTGGCCATCACGATGTTTCCAGTATTCGCGCCTTCATTGTGATGCATCATTGTCCCCGTTATGTGGTTGAAGATTCTTAGAAAACTGCGCTCGCTTTGGTAACATTGGTCTTAAACGTAAATATTACAGCTGTTTAGCGAAGGCCGTTTTATAACATCCAGCGTCTTCTGTTCCAGAACGTAACATTTGCCAGCGCTAACTTGGCAGCCAGTGATAATTTCTACGTAACATTAAAACGGCAGTTTCGAGGGCCTTTTTTTACGTTGTTGAGATTTTCGTTTTGTAAACTACAGAGGTCCTCGAAACTTAGAGAGAGAGCTGGCATGCAAGCGTGCTGAGGAACGCTATTCTCAGTATGCTGTCAGCACGTTGAGATAAAATGCCAAATAAGCTTGGCTCGGGATTTCTCTGAAACGTCTTCGCTGCATACATCGCTTATATAATCCTGCCAGCGGCCAGCAAGGACCAGGATCATCAACAACCACAAGTCCTCACGAACCTTTCCGTACAACTACGAGCTCTCGGCGATAGAGCCATCGCTTATCAGAGGAGAATACACATAGCAGAAGGTAATAGACTCCATTGGGCTATTTGAGAGAGAGGGATTCTTCCCCGCAGCTCACAGTCGTCGGGCCAGACACCAGTGGGCAAAAAAGACGCAGAGAGAACTCGATATTTCATCTCCAACATCTCACCAACGAGAAGCCAGCAATCGGACCACCAGAGCCATGTACGACTGTATGGAGGCCTTGCCTGGCTTTCAAAGGCGGCGGCAGCAGCAGCAGCACCGGCTGAAGGACGCGTTCATTGGTGGCAGTGGTGGTGGAGTAGGTGGAGAAGGTGGTGGTGGTGTGGTTGGGACACACAGCCCACCGTCGTGCATGGCGCACAGCGGCTTCTACAGCCCGGCACCCTACGCCGAGTGGGTGCAGCGAGAAGGAGCCCAGTGTAAGTGCTGCTGCTGCTGCTGCTCGTGGTATCACTCGCTTTGTGTATGTACTCGATGTTGAACTCTCTTTCGCACCGTACGTAGCCAACCGTGCTCATCGGAGGTGCGGGGGAAGGACAACAAACCCGTTTCTGATGTCGCTGTCACGTGCCGTTGTGGTTACTACTGGTTGATGTTGCTGTCACCACTGGCGCAGCTTGCTGGGTCTTGTCACTTGCTGTTGCTCTTACTGCGGCTGTTGCTTTGTATTTGCTCGTACGGGATTGCTGCAAGTTGCTGTTACTTCTGCTGCAGTTTGCTTTGTTTTATATATATCGCTTATGCTGCACCCTGTTATCTTGCTATTACTTACTGACCTTGCTTTTATTCTTTTCTAATCATTCTGGTCCTTGATGTTTCCTGCTATCGCTATTTTGCCATTTGTGTCACTACTGCTGTCCCCTGCTGTCTCTAAAATCACTTATAGATGCTTTATGTTTATTGCTGCTACTGCTGCAGCTTGCTTTACTGTCACTTCTATTGTTGATTGTTTATACATATGCTATTTCGCGGGACTGCCTTTCACAGAGATATTGGTAATACAGTGATATCGAGATCAACGAGAGAGTGCCAACGCATATCAGTAGATTATTTCCCAATCCAATATTATGAATATTACTATGCTTGTTTACCCAGGAACGCTTCACCGAGTGTCATGACTTTTTCAGGAGGGTCCTGCCAAGTTTTTGCAGGAGGTGAACAATGATTGCTATGTACCAATTTAGTAATTTGCAATTCATTAGCAAATGTGTCAAGTTGAACCGTGACGCCGGCACACGATGGCCTCCGCTTGCGGACGACGTCACGAAATCTTTCACGTTCACTGTGAAGCAGACGGGACATATTTTCGTTTAATAGACCTGCAGTAATAACCAGGGCAGCCACTGGATGCGATCCATGAATGTCTGCAAACAGGCCATTTCACAGGCCCTAAGTAAATCCAAACTAACCATCTTGTACACTTGTAGTCAATGCAAGTTCAACCGTATAATTATGTACAGCCCGCTGTCAATCCACTGCTGGATGAATGCCTCCCCATGCTGTGTGGGCTATGAGGATTATTTAAACATACCTCACCACGATGATTATTGCAGGTTGGTAAAGGGAGGACCAGCACTGGTTCAGGAATCAATCGCCCACTGATCTTCGTCGTAGTCGGAAAACCAACTAAGATTGCTGAGTTCATAGTACAGAGTTAGGGTGTCTCTGTGCGTGTGATTGTCGGGGCAGTGCTTATCTCCGTTGGTGGCTCAGAGCCAGTGGTGGGAATTCCATACTTCCATGACAGGGGCCAGGCTTCTCATGTGCCAACGACTATTTACTTCTATTGAGAGCAAACGGCATTTTCCATTGTCCCAGTTGGTGATATGCAGAAACGCAACTGATTTGTTCCAAAAGAGGTCTACACAAGTGAACTGAGATCCATCGCCACACAGCAACTTAAGCAGTGTGGCAATGTATCATCTTACAATGAGGCCCAGAATATACTGATGCTTTGCGTGACTGGCTTTTGTATAACCCCAGTCCCTTGTGAGTGCCTTGCCTTTTTACGTGCAGTGCAAAATTGTGGTGCGAAGTCGACTTCAGTGTGCGTTGTGTAGCCGCTTGCTCACTGTGTCCACGAGCACTACAGAAATCCCACGTGCGGATACTGTAATGACATACAGTGAGGGAAAAAAGTATTTGATCCCCTGCTGATTTTGTACGTTTGCCCACTGACAAAGAAATGATCAGTCTATAATTTTAATGGTAGGTTCATTTGAACAGTGAGAGACAGAATAACAACAAAAAAATCCTGAAAAACGCATGTCAAAATGTTATAAATTGATTTGCATTTTATTGAGGGAAATAAGTATTTGACCCCTCTGCAAAACATGACTTAGTACTTGGTGGCAAAACCCTTGTTGGCAATCACAGAGGTCAGACGTTTCTTGTAGTTGGCCACCAGGTTTGCACACATATCAGGAGGATTTTGTCCCACTCGTCTTTGCAGATCTTCTCCAAGTCGTTAAGGTTTCTAGGCTGACATTTGGCAACTCGAACCTTCAGCTCCCTCCACAGATTTTCTGTGGGATTAAGGTCTGGAGACTGGCTAGGCCACTCCAGGACCTTAATGTGCTTCTTGAGCCACTCCTTTGTTGCCTTGGCCGTGTGTTTTGGGTCATTGTCATGCTAGAATACCCATCCATGACCCATGTTCAATGCCCTAGCTGAGGGAAGGAGGTTCTCACCCAAGATTTGACGGTACATGCCCCGTCCATCGTCCCTTTGATGCGGTGAAGTTGTCCTGTCCCATTAGCAGAAAAAACACCCCCAAAGCATGATGTTTCCACCTCCATGTTTGACGGTGGGGATGGTGTTCTTGGGGTCATAGGCAGCATTCCTCCTCCTACAAACACGGCGAGTTGAGTTGATGCCAAAGAGCTCCATTTTGGTCTCATCTGACCACAACACTTGCACCCAGTTGTTCTCTGAATCATTCAGATGTTCATTGGCAAACTTTAGACGGGCATGTATATGTGCTTTCTTGAGCAGGGGGACCTTGTGGGCGCTGCAGGATTTCAGTCCTTCATGGCGTAGTGTGTTACCAATTGTTTTCTTGGTGACTATGGTCCCAGCTGCCTTGAGATCATTGACAAGATCCTCCCGTGTAGTTCTAGGCTGATTCCTCACCGTTCTCATGATCATTGCAACTCCACGAGGTGAGATCTTGCATGGAGCCCCAGGCCGAGGGAGATTGACAGTTCTTTTGTGTTTCTTCCATTTGCGAATAATCGCACCAACTGTTGTCACCTTCTCACCAAGCTGCTTGGCAATGGTCTTGTAGCCCATTCCAGCCTTGTGTAGCTCTACAATCTTGTCCCTGACATCCTTTGATAACTTTTTGGTCTTGGCCATGGTGGAGAGTTTGGAATCTGATTGATTGATTGCTTCTGTGGACAGGTGTCTTTCATACAGGTAACAAGTTGAGATTAGGAGCACTCTCTTTAAGAGTGTGCTCCTAATCTCAGCTCGTTACCTACATAAAAGACACCTGGGAGCCAGAAATCTTTCTGATTGAGAGGAGGTCAAATACGTATTTCCCTCATTAAAATGCAAATCAATTTATAAAAATTTTGACATGCCTTTTTCTGGATTTTTTGTTGTTATTCTGACTCTCATTGTTCAAATAAACCTACCATTAAAATTATAGACTGATCATTTCTTTGTCAGTGGGCAAACGTACAAAATCAGCAGGGGATCGAATACTTTTTTCCCTCACTGTATCAATAATCATATCCATCGCCACTTATGTTAGCCATAGCCGAATGACCAGCTGAGTCCGCTGACCACTGCACCATCGCTCTGCCCTCCCAAGTTCATCAAAATAGAATATGCAATTCAACCAATACACTATCGCGCTGCACTGCATTTCCCACTTCAACATGAAAAAACATCTCATTTTAGAACATCCCCTGGCTCGTGCAAAAAGAGCGTCTGTGGCTCGACATGCCAGCGATGGGAGAAAGAACGTGCTTTTGTGACGGATGCGGATTGTTCATCTCCCTAACCTTGGCTGCCTCCTTTTGAAACTGCATGGCCATGTCGCTTTAAATGCGTTTTTGTCTGTCTCAAGATGAATACCTAACCAGTGTGCGCAGCACACTTGGGGTGCATAAGACATTCACACGCACATTGGGGGCTGTGTCGTGTGTGTGTGTCTCATTCTTCTCCTCTCCGCAGCTCGCCAGGTGCTGTTTTGAATTTTACACGGACGTAGGGGGGTATACAATAACGGAGTGCGAACGCTTGCACGCGTTCGTCTGATCTCAACACACATGGCTGTTGCCGTCCGCTTGATTCCAGCGTCCCCACAGGAAAGGGTTTGGTCGCTGCTGCTTCTGGTACTGGTGGTGGCACTCTAAAACTAACACTGGCCACCCTCCCCATGCGCACTTCACTGCGCGCGGGCCTGTTGTATGAACTGCTCGGTAGGCAAAGAGCCAAGACCGTCGGAGAAGCATATCAAAATGTGTCATCATTATTATTATTATTGTTGTTGTTGAGATGTTTATTTCTATCATCCTTGAATAGGCCACGCCATAGACAGCATTGTTGCGAATTGTTATAGCTCACAAGGGATGAATCGTGTGTTCGTGGCAATAGTTGACATCTTTAATTTTCTCACATGACACATTGTTTAGCTGTTATATATTGGATGTGGAAAGGGGGGAACTGTAGGTGGCTGAGCCCCCCACGTCCGCTGAGATCTTAGACCACACCCCTTCCCCCATCTTAATTCTTATAGTCAACATTCATGAAGTGTGTTTAACATTGACTGCGCCTTGCCCTCCCCTGAGATTGTGTGTGCCCTCACCTTTAACCAAGGTCACGCTTAAAGGCCTGCCTACAATGAGCCTTGGTCTTGCAGACAATAGACGAATTTTTTTCCAAGTCTCAAGTTTATGTGCACTTAAATATATACATGCATGCCCAAACACACATGCCCACATGTAATATATATGTTGCACATGTTATTGGTGTACTGTATTCAGTAAATAAGAGTTTGTCTATGTATTCGGAAGGAATGTTTTTATTCTTGACGACGCAGGTTCCGTGCTTGCTATGTTTGGGACACGGCGGCGGTTGTGCCTTTGCATGTTTGTTTGACCCCTGGCAAGGTGTAATGTACTGCATGTTTTATGTCATGCTGGACACGATCGCGTGTCGGGTATTGTGTTCCTGCTAAAAAATAATGTCTCGCTTATGCACGCACACTGCATGTTCTGGGCCCAGGGTAGGTATAAGTACAACCGTCTAACACATGCGGTGATGTAAAATTCATGATCGTTCCAATAAATCATGATCTGTTTGCCATGCAAAGTAGATGGGGATTTAAGAATGTAATTACATTGGTGGCCATCAATCTGATCCTATCATTGAAACTCATTTGGTCTTCCTTCTTATTTTTAAAGCTCTGATTGGGAAAGATTTTCATTTTTTAGATTTACGGTTTGCAGTTACAGTGGGCGTCTTGAATCGCACATCTCTAAGATTTTCAAGGATTTTAATTCAGGTGGAGGGCAAAGGATGTAATGTTATTCCATAGCCTAAGAACAAACAGAAAGCTTGCATTGGTCAGGGAGGTCTTTCTACTTCGGTTGGATAAGAAAACGGCTGGTGCACGCAACTAATTCCGATTTCGTTTGACCGTCAAATGCGGCATTTAATCAAACGGGCTGCGGGCAAAACAAGAGGAATGGCGGAGCATTTTTTTAAAATTGCCCTTTCAACTACATCACTCATGATGCACTGCATATCTATGCCGCAGGGGAGCACGAAGAGTGACTTTGAATGAATGACGCACAGAATGTGATTGTGGTCAAAAGGCCTCTGCAATATTACAGTCCATGTCCTGATGTTGCCCGTTTCAGGTGATTTGTCGTGGACAAACGCAATCAGCGTTTGTCAAGATCCACGAACGTGAATTGCGCGCGTCATTGGCATCTTTTTTTAACTGCAGCCAAAAGCAAATGCACGCGAGTTGCAACCGTCAAAAGATTTTTTCCCAGCAGCCCCAGTTACAGTTTCATACATTCAGTTATGAGCACCGAAGCACATTTATCCCCTGAACGTCACCTCGCGTGTCCACCGTCGCGCTGGCTCCAGGCAGCGCTGACGAACGCGTGTGGGCCAGGCGAGTTTTATGGCCAGGCGAGGCGTTTCCCAGCTGCGTGATGCACGCTGTGTGCGAAGTCTCTTCCTTTAATGTCGCGTCTCGGTTTCACAAAACGCAGCAGCAGTAATTGTCTGCCGTAATGTTGGCCGCCAGCCCCACATGATCGCAAAAGCGTGCGGTCCTCACGGCGGTTTTTTTTTGCTGGTCTCCGGAATGATATTTGTAACTCTTTAATTAAACATTCATAAAGTAGGCATTTACTTGTGCCCTGGATGCAGAGGATTGACAACCCAATGAGCAGACAGTGACGAATTAGCTTTGCCTGTATTGATTTAAGCCGAGGCGCTCTGTCGATGGTGGCGGTGGTTTGTGGCGGTGGTATTAGCGGAGGAAATGTTTTAAAACGCCTTATAATCGCGTGACAGCGGAACGTTCTTGCACGTATAACACAACGGCCCCTCCAGTTATAATGCGTCACAGCTTTCCTTACAGCTGCCTTCCTCGGCTGTTCATTCATTTCACGTCGCTGGAGTGGCCTGCCTGGCCCTCAGCCGGCTCCCCCCCCCCTCCCCCCCCTGGGGGGGGGGGGTAGAGAGGCGAGAGGAGAGAGAATGTGGGCTACCACTGGGCCCCTCTTACATCCCCGTGCCAGAGAGAACTTCAGAGGGGCTGTAAATAAACCCTCTTTTTACTACCCAGCGCTCTCTCTGATCTTCCTCCCTCACAAAAGGGGGGGAAAAAGGAACCGAGCCCCCACTCCAGGATACGAGGCATATGGTGACGGGTGAAACATCGCACAGTTTGAGTCAGGAGGCTGTGCTTTCAGGGACGGTCCCCCCCCCCCCCTCCCCTCCCTCCTCCTCCTTCCCACCTCCACATCATGCTGCGATCATATTCTGATATTTTAACAACTCATTACGACAGCAATGGTTGTTGCCGTAAGAGCAGGAGAAGGGGGGGGGGGGAGATGAGATCTGAAAGTTGTGGTGGTTCTCGTGCCCAGTCTGAGGCTTGTGGCTGTTCAACCCACGGAAGTTGCCGAAGCAGCTGCACATTAGCAAGGCACATAATCGTCTCGTTTTGCACCTCGTGAGTGCAAAACGAAGCAACGCATGCGAGATGTGTGCAGAACGCTACGCCCCGCCGAACAGGTCCTGTGGAAAAGAGCTTTACAGCTCATCGGATTCCTCCAATATAAATAAATATTCTGATTCTGAGCCACCCCCCCCCCCCCCCCCAGTATTGAACGTATACAAATGCTTACAGACGCTCGCTGTGGACAACGAGTTGGCCAGCTGCCCCTCGCTGCCATGGGTGTTTGGGTGGCTGCGAGCCTTGGTGAGGTTTGTTTAACATGTAGGCTTTCGCGATCTAACCCAAAAACCTTTATTATGAATGAATTGGTGAGGTTTGTTCGCTTCCCGAGCAGTGCGGATAGCGCAGCTAAGCGGAGCTGTGGAGGAGCGGGGGGTGGGGGTTACGCGTTAGATGGGGGAGGCGAGTAGAGGTGGCGGAGGGACTGCGTGGGCAGATACAACGATGGGGCCGCGACCGGGAAGGCCGGTGGCCCAGGCCCAACACAAACAAGACGGCCACGGAGCAAGCGGAGCTCTGTATTCCGTAGAGACGGGGCCAGTGGCGGCACATGGGTGCCCGTGGGAGGCCCCCGGCGGGCCCTGTTCCTCCCTGAGAGTGGGTCTTGCTGGCCACATGCAGCCTCTTGATTCAATTACGTGCCTCGTCCACATTCAGCTCGAATTCGGAGAAACCCATGCAATTAGATGGATCACAAAGGGGAATGTTAAAATGATCTTCGTTTACACGTGGTTGCATGCGAAGTGTCGTCGTGACAGTCTGGAACAATGTCGCGTCAGCTGCGAGGATTCAGAAGTACAAATAGCAAGTAAAGAATGGGCGGTGTTTATCTTGTGATGCATCGGCCAGCAAAGAGATGGCCTTTCTTTTAGTGGGGCCTTTATCCTGCATGTGGTCTTTAAGCGGTGTATAATTACATACATTTGGGTGGGTATCCCACCACACTGTAAGGCATTAACATTGGCGTCATTGTCATAATTGCATAAAATGTGTTTGTTATATAGTCTGCACATTAATGTTCTTTAGAGATTGTTTTGTTTTTCAGAATGTAAAAAGAATGCCACTTCTCGAGATACACACAACTATCTCACAATCTGGTACTCACAATAAATAAAGAAGTGTCCGTTGAAAAAAATAAAAAATAAAAAAAACTTGCTTTTATTTGACAACTAAAAAAATGCTGACATCAACGTAAAACCTCACGGGAATTTTCTCCGAAAGACGACGGCCTGGGTGAGCGACTGACCGCCTCCTACCGCTGTGGTTTTACCCCTCAGCCATCGATACGCAGAGCAGCAGCAGCGGCTCGGAGGAGCTACTGCCCAGCCCCCCCTCGCCGCCTCCGCCCCCACGCACCTACAAGCCATGCTTCGTGTGTCAGGACAAGTCCTCCGGCTACCACTACGGAGTGAGCTCTTGCGAGGGATGCAAGGTACGGAGCGCGTCTTGTACCAGCCACACCACGCTGCGCCATTCGAATGGGCACGGTGTACCAGTGACGGAGCGTGATTGTATGTATGTTGAAGTTCTTTCGCACCGTATGTAGCCAACCGCGCTAATCGGAGCTGCGGGGGAAGGATAACAAACTAAACACAAAAAGCAAAAATTAGTTTTCAATACAGATTTAAAAGTGCATAGCTCCGGTGGCTTCCTCATATCAGAAGAGCGTTCCAGACGGCCGCGGAAGCGCATCTGAAAACGCACAATGCGGTGACTGTCTGTGTTCGATGGCTAGCCAAAAGCCACGGTGAGGACCGCCGTTCGCATCATGGTTTACGCTCTTTGACGAGATCAGCAAGATATTTTGGTTCAATTGTGGTAAGCACTTTGTGTGTAATGAGTGCGACCTTATCATGTATTCGTTCGGCAACCGGAAGCCAATGACTGATGCCTGGGTCCATCTGTCCTGTGGGTCCTTTCACCAAACGGGCCCTGGTGCAGTTGCACCGCCTGCACCCTTGACGGCTATGCCACTGTGGTGGTAAACACATTTATACAAGGGCACAAGGCACATATTTCACCACTGTGTATCAGCCGATCCTCCCAATAAATTGAGTATCAATGTGTGGGAAATCACTCAACAGTGGGTGGCCTTTGGAGTGACTACTCCTCACCATAGGAATGTGGAATGTCCACCACAGGAGATGAGCACCATCTCGTGATCGTTTCAGCATGAATGCACTTTACACTTGCATGGTATATACCGCATCACATTTAATGTTTCCCTGAAAAATGTTGAGTGGAAGCTTTAACACTCAGGCAGCTATTCCACTGGCCCCACTACTGGCCGGGCTCAGCAGCCAACCACTGTTGTGTGGTCCCAAGCCTGAGATGTCTCATTGGCTTCTGATAAGTGTGGGATACAATTACATTCTGCCTTCCCTAATTACTCCGAGAATGAATGGCCACAGATAAGGAGGGGGGATTACTCTTATCTATGCAAATAACACAGCACCTACTACCGTGGACTCGGCTGAATTTTCTTATCTTTAAAATGTATAACTTTTTACGCGATTATGGGATCTGCACGTGTCATTTCTGCATGCTAGCTATGCGGATATGTTTATGACCACAGCGCTTCACTTTGAAGTCATCAGTCATGTGTGACAGGCGCCGACGCTCTGTATTTGCGCTTCACGGGTGTCATTCCACTTAATGTGTGCCCTATCGGAGGGGATGAGCTGCTGTAGCCAGTCTGATAAGGAGAGCCTGGCCGCTGATGAATGGTTTCAGTGGGAATTGGGAGATCGGGTTGCGACTCAGAAAACCGAGCACTGATGAGACCTACGGACGTTTGCCTTTGGCCGAGGTCATCTGACGAGGCATTCACCTGCAGCCAGACGTGTGAATATTCTCTTATAGCACAAATGGCCACTGTCACACGATGGCTATCGCCTCCCCTGCACTGATCCACACACACACTGCTGGTGCTGCGTTAAAGCCCTTCCTCCTTTTTGCAGATACTACTCGGAAAATTATCTTTACGAGTCTAAATTACTTCCAACTTTGTAACCATTTTTTTTTACCCTGTGAGTATGAAGGGCACGATTGAATTACAGTGACCAAAACGAAGCATTTCATGGGTTGTAAGTTTGAAATGAAACTCAATAAGAACTTCAGTATACTAAAGAAAGCCCTGGCACGTGGAGTGAAACGTCGGACATTGTGCCATGAGGTAGCTAATACAGCACATGTGCGAAATCCTTCTTAGCTGACTAAGACAAAACGTATAATAATCACGAAGCGTTGCTGTGGAGAATTGAAGTAATATATTCGTCACTTATTCATTTTGTCAATGAATAATTTTTTTATTACAGTCCAATGGTGAGAGCTTTATGCAAAAGCACATCCTTGGTCAAATAGACAAAACCAACATAAAACATATTATTAATGCATACTCTTTGGTTATTTCGGTAAAGTCACGTAGGTATAAAATAAAATTCGGGCGCAACACAAGCGTCCATCATCTGATGATTTTATTTTATACCTACGTGACTTTACTGAAAGAACCAAAGAGTATGGATTCCTGCAGTCACGAAAGCTTCAAATCAAGATTATGGATGCACCACCATCAGTGCTTGGGCCCTCTGCCACAGCCATGTAGACTTCTCCAATGGCCAAGAGTCATCAGCAGATATGACGGCTGCGTGCTCATTTGAATGAGAATGCGGGCACTGACCACACAAACAAGGAGAGCACAGGCTATACAGCTCAGGAAGTGGATCGTTAGAGGGCAGCTGGTTTGTGCTGTTAACCCGGTCAATGATTCACGGGTCCAAAAGCCTCCACCTCGTGCCGTTATCGTCAGCCCGGTAACCCCCACCTCCGGAAAACCGCTCACTTGTCCAACAAATAAAAAAAATGCGATGAAGAAGGGCCATTGGCCAAAACGTCACCTATTATACTGTACATGTATACGGCGAATGTGTTGAGTTGTTTTTAATTACATGATGCTCGTGCACCACTGCCAACGCAGTATCACCAAATCATTATATTCGCTGATGTTTGGTCAACGACATACTCTTTCATGGCGATATTGTGTCCACCAAAAATAACGTAGGCATTTCATTCGCTGATTGAGCCATTCATTAACCTCATTAAGTTTTATTTACGTTGAAACTCTCATAAGCTGCTCAACGATCGCGGTGATCTTTCTGATCTGATCATGGCACATGTAAAGAAACTTGCTTTGTGGTGCAGGAAAATCTGTCTTACGCATTTCGATACAGAGATTTAGCTTAACTAACAAGTATTCATTGAATAGACCAGCTAGCATTTTAAACGACTGTATGACTGTGGCTTTCTGCTTGAGAAGATGCCACAAGTGATGGTACAATTTACACGCGTGCAAAGTCTATGTCTGTCTAAATAACACAAACACTGCAGAAACATATAAATACAGCTACATTCGACAGTGCATTCCTGTAATTTCACATGTGAGCAATATATAAAATCACTTTAGATTTTCTTTCAGTGGCGCAATATATACAGTGGTGTATACGTGCTTTCTTTAATAAAATAGACTTCCTGTGTCTTCCTCACAAAAGACAAGTCACAATCTTAATTGCCTCTTACCTGGGTAAGGGCTAAACAAAAACAACGCTTTGAAACAGTACTGATAAGTAATCCCAAAGTAAATATGAACAATACACTTAGCATCCTATTCATTTGGACTCAACACAACTAATGCTGCCAAGGGCATAAGCCAGCCCGTGCGAAATAAATCATTACTCCAGCACGCACTTGGTAACCCGGGTCAGCACTCAGCTGTTCCCGTTCTGATACAGTGCAGCCGTGTCATTACACACGATAATTATCTGCACCAGTGTCACCACTTTTCAACACATTTATTTGACCACAAACACGTTGCCTCACTGCAGGACACGAACATTTCCCCCCCCCCCCGTCCCGTTTTTTCCTCACATGACTCCCCTTTGGTGGAACGCCTTTCCCGTCTGTCCTTTGAGCATCGTATCGCCTGATTCATTTCGAGACGCTTGTCAGATCTCACCGACTCGCCTCATTCTAAGTCCGTCTACCTTTGGCCACGTTGCTTGACGGGCTTTTTATATTCTCCCTTCACAACAGGGAGAGATAGATGAGATAGAGAAAGATAGACGATTGTTTATTTCTAACCAGATATGAGCACAACAAGACCAAAGTGCTCTCTTTTTCCGATGGAGGCATCGGTTTAAAAAAAAAATTAAGCAAGACAAAAAATATAAATACCAATTTAGAAACAGCACAATGGAGAAGTGTACCATTTGGAATGTGCACAGCATAATTAATGATTAATATTAGTTTATCTTGGTCGTAAGTTAAGAAAACCAAAATGATTTATTTTACTTAAATGTGATTGTAGAAGTTGAAGGAAACGCACAAATGTGTTGACACAAATACTACAATTCCACAGCAGTCATATACATTATAGCAGACCACTGCAGAGGACATGGTGCTCGTGAGGGTTAAATATAATTTATTTTAATATTGAGAAATATAAAATAAAACAAAAAAATGTTTTAGTTTTATTTTATTATATTTTTCTACCCACTACGTGGCTTTACCGAAAGAACCAAAGAGTATGGATTCCTGCAGTCACGAAAGCTTCAGATCAAGATTGAGAAATACACTCGACATCTGAATCGACTAATGTACACCATGTGCCAGCACTGTTTTAGAACGCTTCTTCTTTCTGTCTGAAGCCATGCCGTTGTTGACGTATGCGAATACTCACGCATCATGAAGCCAGGAGGATGAACCAACCGCGCTGCTGCTAACGGGCGTTACCGTCAAACCACCTGCATCGTTTTGCGGCGCAGCACCGAGAAGAGTGATCGAAGCGGGCGAAAGAACGTCCCTGGTAAAGACTGCCCGCCAACCCAAACCCACGGGATGTTTCCAGTTTGGTGGCCGAGCAGACCAGGTGAGGGTGTAGTAGCGAGTGATGGGGGCTGCTGTACCAGCAGAGGAGGGCTCTTGGTTTCATCGCCGGCGCTCGCCTGTCAGTGCACAAACGTGCATCGCAGTGGCACGGCGTTGGCTGCAATGATCCTTTGGTGGCGGATTTGCACCGCTCTGCTCTGATCGCTGCCAAAGCTTCCAGCCAGCGCCGAAACGTGACACTGTGGGTTTCTGTTGCCATTGACATGAGCACCCAGTTAAAACAAAACAAACTTTTATTTAGTCTTGATTCATTACGAGGTGAAAAGGTGCAGCCCTGCAAATTACTTGCCCGTGTTATTAATGGTAGAGGAGCCTCCACTAGATATAGCTGATGTGAGCCACTCTCGAGGGTGTTTGGCCTACTCTTCCACGATGGCTGGAAAAGAGATGGGGGTACCTACACTCAATTGCCCAATGTTTAAAATAACAAATTCGAGATTCAAGTAAGATGTGATCGTAATAATTATAATAGCATATTCTTGGTTCTTT